TGTACTGGTTTAATGATACGTGTTACGGACAATCATCCTGGGCTATTGCCTGAATCAGAATGGTGGTTTAAATCAGCCCTCAAGATGTAGTTAAATGTCGGATCATAGCAGGACCAATATTGGCTGCAATACAGATTCAACTCTCGGAAAACGATTCATTTATTCATAAAGAATGATTGATTTCTCTCGATTTAGTATTTTTTCGTTCAAATCCTCAAGATTGATACCCAATTGACAACACCGTTCGTTCGTGCATAAATGTGATTTAAACCACCATTCTGATTCAGGCAATAGCCCAGGATGATTGTCCGTAACACGTATCATTAAACCAGTACAAACAACAGTAGAATCTGGATCATTGAAATCCACTACAGGCTTCCCTTTTGAATCAATAACCCATTCAATAGCATTATTATCTATGTTAGAATCAATAGTGGTACTAGCATCCAATGTTTCATAAGCTATCTTTTTAATATCTTTTGGATGAACACGACATTGTAGTACAAATTGGACATAGTTGCCGTTTTTAAAAAAACTCTTTTCATTCGATGATGCAAGTTTTTTAACTTCAGCATATCTTGGATGAGATGCATAAATAATTGATGGAGTAGCATATATCCCTTCACCATGCTGTGCTCTACTTGCTGGTGCCAATCCACTTAATAAAATAGAAAGGCCGTGTGAAAATTTCGTCCCATGATAACATATGCACCACCCTTTAAATTTTTCGTAAAATTGTTTAGTAACATAAAAGGAATATCGTTTCCATCCAACAGGACAATAATATGGTTGATTACCACGATCTCGCCCATCTTGAAGAGCGCCAGTCCAATATGTGTGACCAATTGCATATAAAAGATTCCACTCTGGATACAGTGTAACTTCATAACGAGAAATTTGTTTCTCATATAATGCTTTAATATCACCCATAAACATGAAGAAGATTTTTAGTTTACCTAATTCTTTTTGAATTTCATCTGTAAGTGATTTATATAGAGCTTTAATTTCAATTTTTTTAAATTTAGAATCGAAATTTTTGAAAATTTCCGCCACGACTTTAATACAACCCTTTTGCATTATTTTAATATCGACATGATCTATATTTAATATGCTGTAAATTCTATTCAAAAATATTTTTTCATCAAATGCATTATCATCTTCATCAATAACAAATACTAAAGATGCTAAATTTAATTCAATATCATCGCGAAAAATATCATCAGAAATAGATATTAATGGCATTTCCGTAATATGATAATACTTTTTGCACTTCATATAGTAAGCTTTTTCCTTGGACGGCATCGATTCCGTAGACCATTTATTTGGTTCTTCTTCTTCTCCACCTCGCCTGTTATTTATTTCTTTAGAACGTGAACCTATTTTAATCAGAAAAAATAGAAAATAGCTAATAACATATTATCGATCGTGTTTGCTTGTCAAAAGAGGAATGCATGATAAGTTTATAGTTATGTAATTTATATAAAATTACCTTGATCCTGCAGTACATGTTCATCAACATCAGGTGAATTTCCACCTAAAAAAATAGAGTCAAAAGAGAGAACTAGATAGTGTATTAATCGATCATTTTGATTGAATCTTCAAATGGTAACTTTCAATCCAAGGAAAAGAAGATATAAATCTCATTCACATTTTTACCAATTAAAATTAGGTAATCTTATTGATGTAATTATACTGGCATTTTGTGGAAGAAGTTTAGAATCTTCACATACAGCGTGAACAAAAAAAATAAAACACAGAGATATATTGCTGAGACTAAAGGAAAAATCTATTTGAATATCTCTGAAAAAAATTCAAACTGTATGTATGACCATGTTGTAATTTTATTTGACGTTCCCTAAACTTTATCTCAAATAATTTCATTTCCATCCGTTGTACAAAACGGTCATACTGAATTGACATCCGCTAATCGATTATTTTCAACTATTTGAAAGAAATGTTGTATTTAGTTTCTTTTCAAATCAATTTCTTTTCGCTATCGATTCATAATTTTTTAAAATTATGATGAGCAGGTTAGGTTTTATTCTAGTACAGGATTGCTGGTATAGTTTATGAATACATTATTTATTATTGTTTTTTCAAACTGAGGGCAACAGATTTAAGACATTGTATCTCTTCCATCAACCTTGGAAACTGTGTTACTCGTAGAAAGAGTTTAGTTCTTTTTTTTCATTGTCTTCTTCCCCTGTTTCATGTCTTGCTTGATCTGTACCTATACGTGATGCAGTTTTTCGGACAAATTAGAGTATAAATGAGTTTTAAATTCCATCAGATCAGTTTTTAATCGCACTTTCAACTGGTAATGTTTTGATGAATTGATGGATTTCAAGGCAGACGCCGTAGAGCTCAGACAGTGTATCAGTGTCGTGATATTTTTTCAACTTTTTCAAATTTCTCAAATACCTATTCTTCTTGTTGGCGTTGTCTGTTGTCCCATGTTCTTCATTGATGTGGATGGTGACAGTGAATGCGATTCAACTGTTCGAGGTGACAGTGATCGTGATCGTAATTGAGTACCTGACGCGTTTGGTGCTTGCGGAAGCGGCCATAATGGCGGTACTGGTGCCCCAAAACCCTTACGATTGATATGTGAATAAACTCTCATTAGTTCATAACGTCGCAACAATGTCAACCTATTCATGCGCTCTCGCAGATTTTCGATACGGTAATTCTGCATCCTTTCAATCTTTGAGCTGCTCTTCCGTTCATTGTATATTATTACACCTATGCGCGCATGAGCTTCCATTATGTATTCACTAAGTTGATAAATTTTATTTAAACCGTCGGGCGATTGCGAGTTCATGCTTCTCCACAGAATAATCTGAAGCAACAAGATGAATGATCTGAATTATCAAAAAAATCTAGAAGAAATAACTTTGCAATGTGGAACTGTCTAAAACAATCGATCGTCAGACAAACGGTCTCTTTTATGTATTTCTACATTTCGAACAGAAGTTTTTTTTTTTATTTACAGGGATACGATTTTCATTTTGCCTCTTTGCTATTCCTTCGTCATTTTTCTTTTTTGTATCTTGATTTTTTTCAAATTTGACGCTGTTAATGTTCTAAGCATTGATTTAACTGGAAAACAAGCCTGTTGTACGTTATCGATTATATCTATCGCACCAGATCTCAATGCGCTATTGTATATCTCGATACGCTCACTACTTTGAATATAAATTTTTACCTATACAAAAATAAAAACTTACGCTATTTCGAGCATTCACAACGTATTTCAGCCAAAGCCAATGCCATATGATTAATTCCGTTCAAGTTATTTTGCCGTTCGCGAGCAGCTCTGAGAAACGAGTATCTAGCTGTTGCCCTCGGTTGCTAAAGTTTGTAATAGAAGGGCTAGGCGAAGCCGAAAACTTCGACTGAAAACATCCGCTTACTATTGTCTTCGAAAATATGTGACGTCAACAAAACAAAAGTCGACATGTATTTTTTTTTACCGTCTACTCCATGCTTAACAATCAGCTATTGTCTTTTGTCATTCACTGCAGCCAAACTTATGACGACATTACTCTAACACACAACAACCTCATTAAATGCAGTTACCCCAACTGTAACGTATAAGCAAACTAAACAGGACTGCTGATAATTTATAACTATGGTAGAGATAACAAGTTGGAATGTTTCAGGATTCAATGAGAAAGAAGGCAAAAGGTGAATAAATCTTATCATAAAGTCTTCAGAAGCATAGAGAATCAACAAAAATACCCTAAAACACATGAAAAATCAAACGGTTCGAAAATTTGAAAACCACACATTCTAATGCATTCTTACACATTCAGATTAATGAATTAAACGATTGGTTTAAAACCAATGATCACAGTATTCCATACTCCTACGTCTCTTGAGGGATTGTTATCATGATTCCTTAATTATTTCAATTTTGTCGGGTGTGGGTGTGGGTGTGGGTGTATCGGTGTGGGTGTGGGTGTGGGTGTATCGGTGTGGGTGTGGGTGTATCGGTGTGGGTGTGGGTGTATCGGTGTGGGTGTGGGTGTATCGGTGTGGGTGTGGGTGTGGGTGTATCGGTGTGGGTGTG